AACGGCGTAACGGCTGCTGAGGCCGTCGGCTCCGTGTCTTTGCTCGTGACTGATGTTGATGGTGTCTTGCGCCCCATTGTTCTTGATCGTTGCTTTTATGTGCCTTCTTTTTCTCACAACATTGTCTCGCTTTCTGCCCTTGTTGATGCTGGTTTTGTCGTGTCCTTGTCTGACTCGTCTACATTTTTGTTGAGTGATGCTGATGTCACTTGGTCTGCACCACGTGATGCAGCCAGTGGTGGCTTGTTTTTCTTTTCTTTTCTCCCAGCTCACCACCTGCACCACCAGCACCACCACCAGCAACAACAGCATGCCCATGTTGTGTCTGCTTCGCAGATGCATCGTCTTCTTGGCCACCCGCCGCGCGAGGTTTTGCGCTCCATGCTGCAGCAAGTTGAAGACACCTCGGACGTCAAGGCCATCCTCAACTGCAACGATTGCAACCTCTTCAAAGCTAAGCGCCTTGCTCTGGCTGGCTTCGATCGCGACCGCACGCCCCGCATGCCTGGTGAACTGGTCGCTTCTGACATGTTTGGCCCGCTTCGCTCCCCTAATATCAAAGGAGCGAGGTACATCATTGCCTATCGAGATGTGGCGACGGGCTTTCTCTGGCTCGACCCTGTCTGTCGCAAGGACGATCTGGCTGAGAGCTTTGCTCGCCTGATTCGCGACTCGCCCATCCCCATTCGCATTGATGAAGCCGACATGCAGAAGCGCACCATCATCCAGAGATAATAATAATAAATTAGGTGTTTGAACCTCAGAGCTGAAAGCAAAGCTGTGCAACCCCGACATCAAAATCACGACGGCACGCAAAACAACACAAGAGAACAAGACATTTTCATCGGCTTCTATCATGCCGAAAAGTACAAGCGCGAAGAATCACGCACAAGGAAACAAAAATCATGAAAAACGACTAAGTATAACCAGAGATACGGCCATTTGAACCACTAGACACATAAAAAGGCAGTCACACATCACAACTACAAGCCATCACAGCACAAACATAAAAAACACCACGGCACGCTCACATACAACAAGAGACAGCGTCGGGTTGAAAAGGCAACCGACCACAGAAAGAAAAGTCATCATACAAAGGACTTTACAAAAATTCAGCAAAAATACCACACAAATACAGTCAAAATCAAAGTAAAATTAAAACAAAAATACAAGTCAAGCCATCAAAAGATCACAACGAGAACCACCTAGGGAGCAACAGGTGCACACAGGGATCCCCACAGAGGGACCCCCGAGACGGTGCCTACCTACGACGAGCGCAGGCAGGCACCGCCAAAGTGGCGCTGGATGTGGTCAGCGTTCATCTGATGGACCAGCGCCGCAAAGCGACCCTTCCACCGAGGAACAAAGGCCTCATCCAGCCCCGGCTGGTACACACCACGGGCCTCGGCGCAGCGGGCGAGCTGACCAAGCAG